GTATTACACTCTGACTAGCTGCAGTCATGGTTTGTCAGACACTGAGCACTTAAAGCCCAGAGTTTAGGATTACTGAAAATGACAGTATCTGTCTGATTGAAAAAGCTGATGAATCAGCCCAAGCTCACCATGTTGTGTTGTCTATCAGCTACCCCCAGCTGAGCTCAGTGAGGGTGAAAGAGCTGTGTGAGCTGCTCAGCTACTGGAATGGAGCCAGCTTTATCTGCAAGAGCCAAGTAAGACTTGTATAAACTACAAAAAGCACTGATGAAAATCTTGTGTTTTGCACATTTGGCAACCATTCGAACATGCTTGTTTTCTTCACACTCTTGCTGTGTTTTCAGATTGAGCGATTTATCAGAATGGGTATCCCTCCAAGCCTGCGCGGCAGAGTATGGAAGTGCCTGCTTACCACTGATATTTTGAGAGATGCCAGTGACTTCAACTACCAGGTAATATACCGTGTGACATCCAAAAGAATGACATTGCAAAGCTGCACACTTTAACACTGAATTGTCATCATAAAGTTGCCCACAACGGTGTACAACCGCTGTAAAAAAGTATTTCCATGTTTGCTTTGTAGCAAACAAAGAAATCACAAATATGACATATAAGTGTTTTTATTTACTAGTGGAACATTCTGGCTTCATGGAACATGTCTTAAACATGGCATATTTTTATAGATTGAGCAAAAAGATGGAATTGCACAATATTGAGGGGGGAATATTTGTCAGACTGATATCAGGACTACTGGCCATGTCACTGAGTTAACACTTTACTCTGTGGAAAGGTGCATTGTCACCCTAAAAAAGTAACTTCATCTTCGCCAAATATATTTTACAATAAGGAAAGGGAAAAGGTGTCCAAATTATGAGCTTTGAGTTTAGTGTTGATGTCATGCTTGCCATCTCCTCTGGCTCTTTATCTGGCATCAACCCCTTCTCACATGAGTGGAGGAAAGTCCCTTTTTTTCCTTCTCACAATCGGTGCAAAAGTACCAGACAAAAGTATGAGCATCATCTCTTGGCCAATATAGATTGATGATTCATCAGTGAGCATCGCTTTCAACTGCAGCCCAGGATTGTTTCTCTTTAGCTCACTGTAAGCTTATTTTCTTCTGTGTACATGTGAGTGCTGGTTTTTGTTTCAGTTTCATTCAGCCACTTTTTTACAGTTCTCTCAAATACTGAATCCTGTTTCTGCCCATTTGTTTTCCATTCGTTTTGTTGTGCTGGTTTTCATTTCAGTGCGTACTGCTTTGAGTTTTCAGTCCTGATACTCTGTCTTCCTTCTACTCATATGTTTTCCTTCATTTTTAAGCTTCTGATTTTTTTCCCCAGTCACCACATAAGATTTTCTTTTGAAGGAGTTTTATAATTCTTTTCTTTTTCAGCTGAGAGCTCTCTTGATGAGCTTCCTTTAAATCATGTGCAAACTACAGACTAGTTTGCATATTTAGATTTCTGCAAGTATCATTTGCAATGTGATTCCATAATTTCTTTTTCATCTACTTGATGTAGAGAAGGACAAAACAGGCTATTAATTAAAATAAGTGAATTTAATATGGTTTAGGTACGTTTCGTGAAGCCAGAATGTTCAGCTCTTAAACAGAAATAGTTTTGAGACATATTTTTGATTTCTTTATTTGCTGCAAAGTAAAAAAGATGAATAAACATCCTCCAAGAGTGGCGATTCCATATATTTTTTCAATATATCCGTTTTGGCCAGGAATTTTTATTTATTTTTTTTTTAATTCTGGGGCAAACTTTACTAGAGCTGAGGATAAACAAATGCTTGAAAACATCAATGAACTGAAAGAAGGTTGTAAAGAAGAGTGGCCTCAAAGTCTTCCACAAAAATGTGAGAGACCAAGAAAACACTTGGTTTTACAAGCGACGGAATAGGGTGTAATGAAAATGTGATACTGTCCTTCTGCGATATAAAGACATATATCAAAACAAATTAGGCCATTAAGATTCGGATGATAACAATAAAACAGAAAAAAGAAGGAAAAAAGGAAGAAAAACAAAAAAAACTTGGCCAGGAATTTTAAAAGAATTTGGCTACCATTTAATTTTACTTTAGTTGTGTCATTGAGCCATTGACTAGTCTTCCTTGGAAAATAATGCTGGCAATTTGCCCAAGAAAACAACAAAAACAACAACAAAAATCCCCTCATTTCAAATTTTAGATGTGTTGACTAAATATTAGGATGGTTTATGCTTTTCATTTGAAAATAAATTACAAATACTCCCATGAGATCTGTTTTTAGTCATTTTTGACATTTCTGCAACCTTGGAAAATGGATGAGAAATGTTTCTGCCCAACTGGACATGAATGAGAAATTCTTGTGTGCCTTCACATTACGTGCAGTGTCACAGGTTTGAAACCCATGTGCTTTTCCAATGATATGTCAGATTCAGATTGTACTGATACTGCAGTGTGTCACTGCGGGAGCAGCTCCAAGTTTTCCACACAGTAGTTACTGTTTGAAAAACATTTTATGTCACACAGTGGCAGCCTGGAAGTGCACAAAAAAGAATCATTTTGCAACTTCACTGTATGAGTTCAAGTGAAACAAAAATGTGTGAACAGCTGGTGGGATGAAGTTGCAAAGAAGGGGATAAGTTCTACATCTGCTGAATCAAACCCAATTTGGCAATTAAGTAATGTTAACTAGCCAACATTAGTAGCTGTGTTATTTCCTGTAACACTAAGCAGTAGGACTGCATTATACAATAACTTGGCTAACGATAATGTTAGCTAAGCACAGGCATAGAGACCTGCAGCCTGTAGTTGCTGAATCTCACTTAATTAACCAAAAATAACTGAGAAGGGGGGAGAGAGAGAAAATATCTCCCCCTTCTCCCTTCCTTACTTGCAACATAATACCAAATAAGAAAAATGTATTTGTTAATTACCTCTCTGGTAATAATAGTAATGACAAAATAGGTAAAGTAGTTATGTGCTGTAAATGTCGATTCACTAGTGGTGTTTGAAAAAAGTCTGTAAAACATAGTTTTGCAATATTTTGCATGGTGATATTGTATCGATACAGATACACCAAATATCAGTATTTTATTAAATAATTTAAAGTACTCTGAGAATAATACAAATAAGAGGGCTTATCTCTTGCACCACCATCCTGAAATAGTATGAGTTACACAAACTTGCATTAAATTGATTCAACGAGGGGAAAAAAAGCATCCAACACTGAACATACTTAGTTTGACATACCTACCTTCTATGTCAGAGAGCGCTAAAAGCTCAGTCAAACAAGTAAAATAGGTCAGCAAGGTCCTTGCATCTACACAAAAATAAATAAATCTGTGGCTGCTTAGTAGAGTTGGATGTCACGAGACCACTTTTACACGGTCTTGATGTTGTCTTGGTCTCGGATCCCTCGGTCTTGTCTCGGTCTTGCTGTCTCAGATCGACATAGTGGTCGGGAGATTTGGAGTCAACAGTATCCATGACACACAACGTAACGTTCGATAATGTGTCATGCGCAAAAGCATCAGCTCTAAGAGCCGTGCTTAGAGAGTGCTTTGTAGTGAATCAGGAGAGTCGACTCCCCTTGAGCGAGAACCGGCTCCTCACTTAATTTCCTTTCGCTGCTCAGCTCTCACACAGTGGCTCAGCTATGCTCCAAGCAATCCATAATGTGGCCAATCACATGCGAGGATATAGGATAATATCATTATGTAAAAAACGGAGAGGGTGAGAGACGCGACAGTCAAGTGGAGCGTGTGTCTGTCCTCTCAGTGAGTGAGTGAGACAGTAGACAACAGTGAGGAGGGCTGTGCGAGTGCATCGTAAAAACGCATAAATATGCCTGACACCCGTAAACGAAGCAACATCTGGCTGCAGTTTAAAGACTTTTTTTGTCTCGGTCTCGGTCTCGTCTCGACTTTGTCTTGGTCTTGTCTTGGTCTCAATACCCTCTGGTCTTGGTCTTGTCTTGGTTTAGGCGGTCTTGACTACAAGTCTACTGCCTAGTCATTTTTTGGGGGAATTTTTTTGTAACTTTCATTGATCCATTTTCTTCGGCTTATCCAGTTCAGGGTTGCTGGAGCCTACCCCAGCTGTCGTATGCTGAGAGTCGGGGTGCACACTTGACAGGTAGCCAGTCTGTTGCATGGTTAACACAGCAACAGACAACAATTGGCCAATTTAGAATCGCAAATTAGAATTAGAGAGAATGTCAAAGGTTTGCAAATAATTGCTCTTTAATTCATATATTCAGACAGATTGCCAGCATGTTGCCATCAGTCTGAATGACTCGAGTCAACTGGCTGCCAGCTGGTTGTCTTCTGATTATATTCCTATATAACAGGAAGGTTGCTTAGTTAGACGTGAATTTCATTTATTAAAGTCAACAAAGAAGAACATAAAGACCCTGCTGTATCCACTGAAATGCAATTTCATGGATTAACAATATACTTAAGATAACAACTGAACTTTTTAAAAATGTTTGAGCCAATACGCTCTTTATCTAACACCCTGTTTTTAATACCCTAACCCAGCTGCTCTGTAGTGCCTCAATGCATTCAAATGCCACAGTTTCATTGAAGTTTTATTCATCCATGTTACTCTGCATGCATTCAGTGCCTTTCTCCGTCAACCATTAATGTTATTGATGGATTTCTAGCCAGAGTATATGTTGTATTCTTTTCAACAGACATGTTTGTCTGAGGTGCGAGGACCTTTGGTCGACCTGGGAGTCAGTGAATACAGCATCTTGTCTGCAATCACTACACTGAGCGACACTCAGAACGACCTGGGCTTAAACCGTCAACAGTCCACAAGCCCTTCAAAGCCCCGCTACTCTGTCGATGACATCACACTCTTCAGACAAATCGCCCTGGACCTGCGTGAGTTCAGACAGGGCAACAACATTTTTGTTGCCCTAACCCTAACACTCACGTTACATAGTGTTTCTGTATGTTGCACCATGTGTAGCTGAAGTAATGCACTTCATTTGAAATGGTCCATGTCAACAGAGCGTTCCTTCCCTACTCATCGGTCCTTGATGGGAGAAAGTCCCGAGGCCATCGAGGGTCAAGCGAAACTCTTCAGGGTCCTAATCGCCTGCGCCAGATACAACCCAAAGGTTGGATACACCCAAGGTAATGGGACGAATGACTGAACTGTTTGTGCATGTTTTCACTTCCCTGCATTTTAACTGGATGTACTATAGTGGTACCCTTTCCTGTTGTCTGCCTGTGCTACACAGCAAATAATATTAATAAATTAGCAACATTTTATTGGTCTTATGCTACTTATATTGTGGGAGATTTAAACCTAACACTGCTCCCTCATCAGTCAGCACATTTTTTTTGAAAGCTGCTTCTAGGGCTGCTCGATTATGGCAAAAATGATAATCACGATTATTTTCACTGAACTTGAGATCTCGATTATTTGACGATATTTATTTAACAATAACAATGTGTTGAATAATGACTTTAAAGATTGTCAAAAAATAATATAAAATAGTGTGCAAATACTGATAACAGTGCAAATGTTTGCAATATAAAAAATAAATGAAAAATGTAAACATCTATGTTTAGTGAACTTTGCAGTGTTGCTCTGTGGTGCAGCTACGACACTGTAGCAAAGTTTACACACTATGTCTACTCGATCCACGTCTGACTCCGCGAACCCATAATGTTTCCACATTACTGAAGTTTTTTTTACCCCTCTTTTCAACCAACGACAGTCACTCTCCTCTCCAAATAACTTCTGCTTAGCTTTCCGAGCTTCCCTCGGGTCCTCTTAATTGTTGTGACACGTGTTCGAAATGCAGAGAGGTGCGCTCGATTTGCCACACGGAGCAGCGAGAGAGTAAAGCACGAGGGAGGGGCTAATAATCGGCTCAGTCATTTTTAATGATTGTTGAAAGCCCAGATCGTAATCGAGATTAAAATTCGATTAATTGAGCAGCCCTAGCTGCTTCAGTTATTCTATAGATACCTGCAGTACATCATGTGACCACTTGATGGAGGTAAATGACCTTTTAATACAGAGCAGAGTTGACGCAGTTTAAGTTGTTTTTAAAAATGGCTCAGTAATCACATCTTTTCCTGTATTAATTGCACATTTCTGTCATGATGCACTTTAGAATAATTTAGTCTTAAAACCTAAAGATCTGCAGAAATAACTACATAAGCTTTTATACCTGCTTTTTTGTTTTGGAATTCTGAAACATCACCATCACCTTTTCTCTGTCTTCCCAATTTTCTTCTTAAATATATAACATCATGGTTAGAGGTGCATTTTAATTTTGTCTCTGTAAGAATACTTCTTAGTGTAAAACTATAAAGAACATTTGTTATTTGGTAAATCTTATATAACCGAAAGCTGATCCCAGTTATCTGCACCAAATAGACAATACTCATAATTACATTTTGTATCTTGTTTGTTTTATATTAAACATTTCCCAATGTTGTTTGATGGCCCTTTATTAACAATGGTTTCTAGTGATCTTCTGCATGGCATTATATATTCTAGAAGTCCTATTTTGAATGTCTTTTAAAATTTATGGGTGGGAGAAAAATTAATTTATGGCCAGTTTCATTGACAGTATTGGTGCGCTTGACAATGTCATTGTGCAGCAAGAAAACAATTAACTGATGTCAGACTAATCATCCAGTCAAAGCAAGTCAAACCTGAGGACAGTCGAATGAGGATAGACACAGCATGTGTCTGAAAATTTTCAGTTATGTGCAGTGTATAACATTATTCGCATGATGTCTGATGATTTAGCACAGTGCAAAGATCATAAGCAGCAACATTCTTTCTTTGCCTGTGCAGAATGTGGTGACACACACCCGTGATTAGCTGGATCTTGAGCACTCCTATAAACACGTGTATATTTTTCTTGACAAACCATATTAATACGACCTTTTACCCTGTGCTTCATCCAGGAAAAAATGTGTGTGCATTTTACAGGGATGTCCTACATAGCAGCAGTGCTGCTGATGGAGTTGGGGGAGGAGGAGGCCTTTTGGGCTCTGGTGGCTTTGTTGGATAAACCCAAATATCTGGGAGAAATGTTTGACCTTAGTCTCACCAAGTAAGAAAACTTCAGTTCTTATTGTTGGCCTTTATACAAATACAAAGAAAATATACAACCAGAGTGTGGTTTATGTGTGGATATAACTGATGTAAATTAAGGATAAGAAAAGAAAAAATCAGTTTTATCTGATAGTTGGGTTATCATGAAACGATCATTACAAACCTTTTGTTGTTGGGGTTTGTTTGTTTTTTTTGTTGTTTTTTTTTGGTGTCCCTGTGTGTCCCTGTGTGTCTCTGTGTGTCTCTGTGTGTCTCTGTGTGTCTCTGTGTGTCTCTGTGTGTCTCTGTGTGTCTCTGTGTGTCTGTGATCTGCTAAACTGTCTGGCTTTTTCTCCTCTTCTTGATTAGGGTGCAGCACCAGGTAAAGGTGTTTGACCAGTTCTTAAAACACAGGAAGCCCGAGCTCTCCAAGCACATGGTGAGTCGTTTTACTTTCCGCTTTTCACTATTTGGGTTTCTGCAAACAATGAAAGTTGTATGATAAACTTAAATTTATGTTAAATTGCTATCTCAGTTACAAAAATCCTGGAAGTAATTTGTTTCAGTTTAGGGATGCCCAAATGTCACATTATTTTAAAGGGGGGGGAAAAACAATTTAGTGTCCTGTTGTGCCCACAAGAGGGCACACCAATACAAAGAGACATGTAACTGTTATATAGATAGATTTGTCTCTGCATGAACATCCTTACACATCCCAAGGTAAAGAAACAACACGAATCAAATTACAGAATGTAACATGAAACATTCAACACCCTGCTTAGAGCAGAGTTTTGTTGGGAACTTTTTGCTAACATTACTACAGGATTGTTTATGAATTATTCGAGCCCTAAATTGGCCCCATGCTGTGCCTGAACATTAGAGAGTTTTGTAATTTTAAAATGTGTATTAGACACAAGCTTTAACTGTCTGTATACAGTTATTGTTAATGGGTTTTTACACATGCAAAAACATGCTGAAAGAGTTGGTAGAACCAAATAAGGATTTTTACAAACAAAGCAGAACTAGTAAAATGTTAGAAGTCAGGACATTTGAATTTAGTTGCCCATGTAATGTTCATTCAATTATGCTCCTTAATTACAGTGGACCAAAACATTGTAATCTATAAGAATCAGAAAGAGATACACAGCTGTTCTGACTTTGTCACTAAGTACAGTGATCATGTAAGTGAATTACATTAATGGAACACTTTGTATTCTGTGCAGCAGACACATGGGGCTTTTTGCTATCAGATGAATATTCCATTTACAGTAAAATGTTTGTTTTTACAACTAGCAGCTAGAGTTGAGAATATAACAGGGTGCTTGAAATCCTTGAAAATGCTTAAATTTTAATATTGTCTTTTCAAGGTTTGAAAAGTGCTTGAATTTCAGATGCGGTGCTTAAACGTGCTTGAAACCGTATTTCATTCACCACAAATAACTATCTGACCAAGTAGTTTTCTTATCAGATAGAGAAATTAAATGAGTCGCAAAGCAAAATTTCTCCGCCTGGGCCGCCTTGCACTTCTGCATCGTCAGTCTGTTTCAATGCGCCACCCGGCCCCTCCCCCCGCACAGGCGGGGATGAGTGCACAAACTTGACGTTGCTGTTTTAATGAGCGTTTGATAGAAAACGACACTGGTGGAATTTGTACTCTTGAGTCACATGACAGATGAGATGATTTTCAAGTATACATACATAACACGTGCTAATTTTTAAAACTATTATTATTATTATTTTGCTAGCTATCAAACTTGCTGGAGAAATGATTGAAATGCACTGAGTGTGATGCAGTATGGCAGTGCTATTAGTTTAGGCATGGTGATTTATGGAATATGCTGTAAACTTAGCTAACATTACTTAGCAGTAGCAGTAATGTGAGTTACTTCACTCAAGTGAAAGCTTTAAACGTTAGTCCGATATTTAACTAGCCAACTTATGGTATAAGCAAATAATGGTAATAAGAGGGACTGATCAATATGGGCAATGGGAATAGCCACTTTTTTGTGCTATTGAAGTTCCCTGGCTTTCACTCAAAATCTGTTTATTGTGAGCACCTACACATTAAACAACTTAAAAATTATAAATGGCTTCAAGCTCACATTGAGGCCTGTGGGGCACTATCAGCCACCGAGACAACAGACAAATTTAAGTGTTTGCGTAACAGGACCTGACAGGAAAAATGCGTATGAACCTTAATATAAGCAAACACTGAAAACTTGGTGCTTATTTGGGTGCCTTTGTTTCTGCTGGCATTATTTGGGGAATCTAAATGGCATTGCTAAAACCACAATAACAGAAAGATTTGAATGTGTGTATGTGTATATACACACATTTGTGTTTGAGACCAGATGCAGCTATGTGATGAATGATTCATCTGCAAGCTGAGGCCCTGTAATGTCTCCATCATCAGTTGGGCCTCCTTTCCCATTCAGTCTATTGGTCCGTCGCTTGTCAAAGTTGTAAAATGAGTGATTTTACGCAGGGCAAAGACCTACAGCTGTGCAGTTTTCTGCCACCAAGCCTACTGTTACTGAACAAGTAACACTTGTTTCATTTAGTGAACCACAGATTGTACTTTTTTTTTCATTTGAGCTTTTCTTTACAGATGTCAGTTTATTCTGTGTACCACATGCTACACTAGACATTTTTAAAATGCCTGTATCTAGGCTCACATTTGCAATAATGATATTCATGAGAGTATAGCAAACCAACTACAGAACACTGCTTTATCTGTGATTGCAGCTTAAAGGCAGCAGCATTTTTATTAGTGCAAACAAAGTGAAGGGTGTTTTAGATCTTTCTTTTCCAACCATATAAACTCTGTATGCGCAAGTCAAATGTAAGCGCAAAAGTAGTAGCGCTTACCCCAGAAATGTTAAGTAAAAGTATAACACAACTGTTTAATACTTTATTCATTGTTCAATTAAAGTCACTTAACCTCATAAGTAGGGATGGGTATCGTTTAGGTTTTATCCGATACCGGTGCCAAACCGGTACTTTTGAAACGGTGCCGGT